GTTTAACTTCCGGGGTGGAGAAAGGTTGAAGCGGAGGGGCGGTGCCTAGGTTGCCAAAGCCACAGCCATGAGGCGGGTCTTCGGCCTCAGCAGTAGGGGCCAAGCGCCTTCGGGCTCTACAGGCCAGCAGGGCAGCTGCAGGGGACCGTGGCCCAGCGTCCGCGTCAGGGCCGTGGGCAAGCTCCATAAAGCTGCCAGCGCTGGCGATGCGGCCAGGGTGCAGCATCTCCTCATTCTGGGGAAAAGTGGCGTCAATGACAGAGACGAGAAGCACAGGTAATGGGGCTTCGGGGGAGGGCTGCGGGTGGGGCTGGGACTGTGCGGGAGCAGAGGAGGTCCGAGGGTTGTGAGGGCCGGAGAGGGTGAGGAGCGGGGAGAGGTGGGCAAGGGGAGGTCCAGAGGGGGTGAGAAGGGGGTGAGGAAGGGGAAAGGCGGGCAATGGGAGGCCTGGAGGGCAGGCGGGGAGAGGCAGGGAGGGGAAGATCCCACCACCCGGGAGGACACCTTGGGGGGGAGGGGTGTCTATCCCTAGGCAGCAAAATATTTATCAGCCGCAAAATAAACACAACTTTTTTTTTTTTGGTACCGGGGATCGAACTCAGGACCTTGCGCTTTCGAGGCAGGCGCGGTGCCACTGATCTAAATCCCTGGGGCCCAGCACAACTTTCAATCAACAGTTATAGATCACTTCACTGACTACTTAAAAGCGATTTAACTACAATGTGTGTATAGTATTTTAACAAATGTGTAGTATAGTATAGTAACAAATGTGTGTATAGTATTTTAGTCTTCCTTTGTGTGTGTGTGTGTTTGTTTGGTACCGGATGGAACTTGGGACCTTGGGCTTGCAAGGCAGACGGTGGAACCACTGAGTTAAGTCCCCAGCCCAGAATTTTATTCTTAATATCACATTAAGAGAACTGTTGTATTCATTGTAGAAAAAAAAAAAAAGACACTATGAAACATTTCCCATAATATATCAAATTCAGGGCTAAAACTTACTCTGTTAAAATCTAGTATCCATTTTCTATCAGTCTTCACCTGTGCATGTATGCTCTTTACTGAGGAATCTTACAAGGAAACTGAGATGGGAAGATGGCTCCATGTTCTTGACTAGAAGGATTCATTAGTCCCAAAATGTGAACTTTCTGTTTATGAGTTTTATATAAACCCAATAAAAATGTCACATAGCACTTGGGTTCACCTACCCTCTTTTGCTATTGTGGTGTCACTAAGAAAATGTAGTGAAGACCTGCCTTCCTAGGTATCAAAACAAGCTATTTTCACAAATTGTTTGCTAACAGCCAAAAAGACAGAGAAATGAATGTAACTTAATAGAAAATCCAGAAACACTCAAATATCTGTAAGAATTTAGAATTTGATACTAGTGACATTCATATTAGTTGGAAAATCAGAATTACCCATGAATGAAATGCCTGTGAACTATTTCAAAATATAGATTTTTTTCTTTCACAAAAGATCCTGGAGTATAGATTAAAA